AATGAGTTATTTAAATTATAAAATTATTATGAACATATCCCACATAAATTAACAAGTAGTATCAAATTTCAAGTTGTTTGAAGTATTATGAGCTGTAATACTTGCAAAAGAAATACACATGAAATTAATTTAAGAATTAGGTTTATTTTACAGGTATTCGAAAACTGCAATTATTGTTAAACAATAAAAACTAACACTAAATCTGAAGAGCATAATTTTTTTCAATAATAAAACTCAACATAGATTTCATTCAGCTTAGCCATATTTGTTCTATAGTTCGCTGTCTTTAATATCCTGCTCGATTTTTGTAAAAGTGAATTCTTTGTCACCCAATGTTTTGAGAACAGCTCCTAAACAAGAAAAAGAAAAATTTGTAATAATTTCACACTTCAGAAAATTTTAGCTTTTAAATAAAGTATTAAAAGATGCATATAAAATGCACCGAGTATTTCATATTTAAAAATTTACATTTCAGTAATTAAAAATTTAAGTTCATACTATCACACAGTAAACTTCAATTATATGCCTTACACAATGCCTATAGTTACAAGTAAAAAATACCTAAAGATTTGTTTAGAACTGCAAGGTTAAGAAAGTCTTTAATGGCTATGTTTGTATTTAAGTACACGAGAAAAAAATTAATTTTGTATTAATTATATTGCATTAGCCTTTCCAATTTTACTCCTACATATAGTAAAGAATATTCGCTTTCTTACAGATAACTTTTTCTTAAATAAAGAGTAAGCAGAAAACTAATCACAACACTATATACATATAACATAATACTTCATGCACATATACATGTCATTAACATACGTATATGCATTAACAGGCATTTTTATAACAAATTTTATAACAAAAATCAGGAAAACAAAAGTTTCGCTTCTAGCCTCGTAATTTTTGCTATCATTTTAGATTATTACTTGAGCTCTTATATATGTTAAAAGTAGAACTTAATAACGTTTTTTTCTTTATTTTACATGAAAATATACTTAAAAATTTCCTTATCTTGTATAATAATTTTCAGAAGTGCTATTCAAATTATTCCAAAGTTTTAATTGATAAAATCCATCAATATAGTCTAAAATTAATAAAACAACACAATAAAGACTATTTACAGTAAGAAGTAACAAAATTAAAAATGAAGACTGAGTGTGGTAAATCTCAAAGTACAGACTAGTATTACATTCTAACTCTTAGAAAAAGTATCACTTTTTAAATCTTTAGAAAAAGAATCATCACTCTCATCTGCGTTAGTAAATAGTTCATTAACCATACGAGGGTATTCTTCCTCTGATAAATAGTGCCTTCATATTATAATAGACTGGAGGTGAGGTTTTCCAAAATAAAAAGGGAAGAAACGGAAATATATCTGAAGGCAATGCAAAACATAACAGAACTCCACATAATAACCCTAAAAGACAGTACATAGTAGAGGAAAAAAAGAAATTAGATATATATCAGACACGCGAATATTTGTATTAGCACGCGGCGATTTAAAGAGCCCATCTCTGTTTACGCTTTCGCTTTCCCCCCCCCCCCACTCTGGCAACAGTTGATGAGTAAAATACCAAAGTCAGACAGAATATATCAAACTCAAGTTAGGAACCTAAAACTGTGTTCATTTCAAAAGTAATGGACATAGAATGCGATCTAGTGGCCTTCAGAACAACGTTCCAGCTTAAAATGCATATACGCATCACCCGTCTTCTGAATGCAGTCTCTAGCGATGCGTGGATGGGACGCCTGGTTGTAAGAAACATTCTTAGGGAATGTGTATATGGGACGCCCGTCCGGAAAGGGTTAAATATGCTTTGCATTCTGTTGTGTTTTATGTTCTTACTAATTTGAAGTGATAGCAATTGTTTGTGCTTTGTTACACTGAGGAGAACTGTACAAGTTCTTTTATGGAAAGTTCCAGAACTGTAAAGTGTTTCTTTTGGGCAAATAAATTCTGTCAAGCTACCATTGGTTCTGTGCGCATTCAGTCCATCATGAACCCGTACGCATGCAACTAGTTTTGGTGTCAGAAGTTGGATTGAATACCAATGACAAGAGCGCTGGTTTGGCAACTAAGACAACTGCCTTTGTTGGATTCCAAGAAAAGATATAAGGGGCCATTAAGTCTGTGAAAGAAGAGGTGAATTAGGCCAGGAAAAGATGGAAGGGGCCATGAACTCAATTTAAGGAAGAGATGAAAGTGGGCCAAGGAAAGTTTGAAGCAGGTCAAGAGGAAGTGAAAAGATAAATAGCTGTTATAATAGAAAACAAATTTGAGGCTGTGGAAAGTTGAATAGACACGGTTAAAGGTAGAGTTGAAGAAATTCAAGAAAGAGTTTCTGCTGTTTAACAATGAATCGAAGATGGAGTTTCTGCTGTCAAACAACAAATCAAAGAAACAGCTTCTACTTCCGAACAAAAAAATTGATGAAAGAGTTTCTGCTGCTGCTGTTGGCAAGAAAGTTCACTGTTTTAAGAAATCTATAATGATAGCTGGGTGCAATTCTGATGACTTAGAATTTATATCTGCGCTCTCTCTAAAGCTATCCATGTACGAGGGCTATCCAGAAAGTAGATTACGTTTTGGAATAAAAAAATAAACAAAGTATAGGAAACAAATTTTATTATATACAGATGAAAGCCACACTCAAATACTACTTTTCTACATAGTCACCATACAAATTAAGGCATTTATCGTAGCGATGTACGAGCTTGGAAATTCCTTCGTCGAAAAATTCGGCCGCCTGCGCCTTCAACCACTTCGTTACCTCTTCTTGCAGCTGTGCGTCGTCATCAAAACGCTGCATAGCCAGCCACTTCTTCATTGCTGGGAATAGGTGGAAGTCGCTCGGTGCCAGGTCGGGACTGTACGGCGGATGAGGAGGAAGGAAGGAAAACAACTCCCACTTAAAGATTCAAGAACTTTACGAGTGACATTTTGCCGTGTGGGGCCGGGCGTTGTCGTGAATCAACAAGATCTTAGAGCTCAACATTCCTCTGCGCTTGTTTTGAATTGCTCTTCTGAGTTTTTGGAGAGTTTGGCAATACCTTTGAGAGTTTATTGTAGTGCCTCTTTCCAGGAAGTCCACCAAAATTACACCTTTTCTGTCCCAAAAACAGTCGCCATCATCTTCCTTGCCGACATTGTTTGCATGCATTTCTTGGGTTTTTGGGGAGAAACTTGTGTGCCCCCACTGCATTGATTGCAATTTCGTTTCACAGTTCACATGTTTCACCCATGTTTCGTCACCAGTAACGATGCGATCGAGTAAAGAGTCACCATCCTTATGGTAAGCGTCCAAAAAGTTCAACGCTGCAGCCATTCGCTGATTTTTTGTGGTCCTCTGTCAAGATTTTTGGAATCCATCTTGCACAAAACTTGTGGTAACCAAGCTTTTCGCTGATGATTTCGTGCAACAAACTTCGCGAAATTTGTGGAAAAACTCAAAGAAAGTTCCGTTATTGTGAAATTTCGATTTTCACGGACTTTAGCATCGACTTTTTCGAGAAGTTCGGCGGTCACTATGCTGGGTCTCCCACTTCGATCTTCGTCGTGAACATTGGTTCGGCCATTTTGAAATCTTATGACCCACTGACGCACTCCACCTTCAGTGATAATGTTGTCCCCATACACTTCACGAAGCTGCCGATAGATTTCTATCGGTTTACAGATTTTTGCAGTCAGAAACCTTATTACTGAGCGCACCTCGCAGCTCGCGGGATTTTCAATTAACGCAGACATTTCAAACCGTCACAGTATCTGAACGGAGCACAGCACGAACCTCTCACTAGCACGGCTAGATGCAGACTGAGCTGCGCAACGCTCTGACCCGAAGATGGCCGCGCTAGCCCCGCCCCTAGCGGACACAGACGGAAACGTAATCTACTTCCTGGATGGCCCTCGTATGATGGAAAAGCCTTCTTGCAAGTGGACAAGATTCAATTCTCTGTAGTGGCAAATGCAAATGGATGGGTTTCCGAAAATAAGGTCTGTTTTTTTTTTTTTTTTTTTTTTTTTTTTTTTTTTTTTGCCACTTTTCTGAGAACAGACGATATATCCTTCAAACTCTGCCCCAAAACCAGAAGCTAGACTTTGAAGCTGTAAGTGGTGTGTTGGAACTGTGCTTTGGTGATGAGTATTTAAAAGATTATGGCTTTAACTGTAGGAATGCTGCAACTGAATTCTCACCAATAGAAGCCTATAGAAACGTTCCAGGAGCTTGCCATAGATATTGAAAGGCTGTCTCATCTTGCCTTTTTGGACTGCCCAATAGAAATAGGGAAATCCTGTTATTGCAGTACTTCATCGATGGCACCTAGGATCTTGAGATATAAAAAGTCCTGTGAATAGTGGATGTCAAGGATCTAAAAAGCACTTTAGTTACGCAATGAAATTGTGATGATTTTGGCAACCAATTTTTGTTGCCAAATTTCTCTGCGTTTTGGTATAGTTCATGTATAACTGTAGTCGATACTGTAATTGATCCCTATATGTATCTGTAACCCTATATGGTATTTATATGTAACTCTAACTATGTATGTCTTCCAGTAATTTTGAAAAATGGAAGGTACTAAAAATTTCTCGGCAGAGCCAGACTTAAAATTGATGAGGTCCTAAGTTATCTGAGATATGGGGCCCTTTATAAGTCTGTTATACTATATTTTAATACTATAGTTATACAATATTTTAATTTTTTGGGGTCCCCCAATAAAATGGGGGTCCTAAGCTTACGTAAATCCTGCACTGTTTCTCAGTTGTCAGGAGGAAAAAAATGTAGAAGACCAGAGAGAGCATCAGTTCTTCATTTCAGAGTAATGAGAGCACTCCATGTGATCGTTGGTCTTTAGATACGCTTTGCGTTACATTGTGTTTAATGTTCTTAGTAGTTTGAAGTGGTAACAGTGAGACTTTATTACAATGGTGAATACCTATTTGACATGTTTATTATTTGCTGTGAAATTTTTGTCATTACATTTAATATGTAGAACTTGTATTTCAGGTGGAGAATATGATTTATAAATCCTTAGGATATTCTTCACCTGGTGCCCATGTTATTGCTCCAGTAAGTAACTATACATCTCTATATATCTAAGAGTTTCTTTATAAATTGTATAATGAAATAATGTTAAATAGTACTTATAATTATTACAAATATATATCTGATTGCTATTTAATTCCAAATACTTACAAAATTATCTTGTGTTTATCCCATATAATTGATTAAATTTACAGATATTTTATTTAGAATTTTCGTAATGTTTGAAAAGTTCATGAAAATTAATTTTGTTTTTGGAAAATTTAGTTTCTAATATCTGTAAAATGCTGTTCCCTTCCCTTTGCAAAGGGTTTTCTTAATTTTAGAATGTTCAATATTTCTGAGAAAATGTAGCTGATTCTGCTCATTTAGACATACATAACAATAAAAATATTAGCTGCTGATTGATTTTAGATGAACTGATAAATATTTGAAATTTGATTATGCGATACCAATTTTCAACTTTCTAAAATTTCTAAATGTTTTTCATAAGCATCCTTCGACCAATTCTCAGAATGAAAATATAAATAATAAGTAAGTAGACAGGAAAGCAAAGGCTGTGTATTTTTGTCCTCACTCAATGCCTGTCTAGTTTAAAAATGTGGCTAGAATGCAGAGAAATTTAAAAATCATCTTATTGTTAACAGATGTTCATGACAAACAAGCAGTGCCAGTTTCATGTGAAATGCAGTCTGTTGAATGTCAAATAAATTTATAGTGCCTCCTGCACTATGAATTAAATTCATGTTCAAAACAGAGGGAAAAAATTATTAAAACAATAATGATTTTCATCTGCTACATTCATGAATTTGAGTTGAAATACAAGTTTCACATATAGCTATTTGTATAAACACCAATGTGGTGTTCTTACAAACTTCAGTGTTTTTTTTTTTTTTTTTTAAATGTGGAAAATATTTCTCCATTTTCATGTAGTATGGGATGGTACTTTAAGAGTCAGTTAAAATTAATGGTTGTTGCTTTATATAAATATACAAAGGGAAAAATGCACAAATGATATTAAAAATGAGATTAGCATTGTTTGTGGGAGTGATGTTACAAATCTTTAGACAATTTGCATTTGGTTTAGAAGGTTTCAAGCTAGTAAATTTAATATGGAAAATAAAGACCAAATGGCTGCTTATCCACTATAAATATAAGATCTCATCAAAGCCATGCCTAATAAAATATGTGATGTGCTATTTGGGAATTAGTGGATGCATTAAGCATTCATAGAGCAATAATATACAATCATCTCATATTGCTCAACTGTAACAGTCATTCTGAAATATGGGTTCTGCATCAATTTATAGAGGGCATACTCCATAAACTACAATTTACAAAGGGTATCCAATCATAAACTAAATTCAGATTACGATTTGCTTCTTCAGTGAAACAAACCATTACTGAAGAAATTAGTTACCAGGAATGGAACTTGTTTCCTGTGTCATAAGGTTAACTGTAAATACTCTTGGTCAAGCCATAATAAATCTTTATAACAATAGGAAAGTTTTGTCTTGAACCACAGAACCTCAGCTTAATATAAATGTCAGCTTGGATGTCACATTCAGTGCCAGTTTGGAAGGACATGATTATGATATGTTTGCACAAGGCCACATAAACAATTCAGTGAAATACTGTTCCCAGCTGGATAAATTAAAAAAAAAAAAAAAAAACCATTCAGGGGAGAGGAGAAAAGAAGCCAGCATTAACAAATAGATAAAGCATCACTAGGTATTTTGAAACAAAATTGTTAACATTTGATTGGCATGTTCTGCTGCATCCTCTGTTCTCTCTGGATATTGCCCTAAATGACTATTATCTGTATTTTCATGAAAAAATTATCTCTGCTATAAAAGGCTTAGTCCAATGATTGACATAAAAATGCTCTTGAAATGATATTGTGCTTGCAGATCAAAAAATATTTTTCAAAGATAGTATACTGTTCTTGCAAGGATGAGGATCAAGTGTAACTAAGTAATGTAGTGTAGACTTAAAACATTATATGTGATTTACTTACTAATAAAACAAGAGAAAATTTTGGGGCAACATTATACAAAGGAGAAGAAATTATCAAGTGCTGGGTAGTCATATGCGCATTTCCTGCGAGTTGTAGGAGGAATAATGATTCTTTTCCTATGGGATACAGTAAAAACCTGTTTAATGCAAGCAATATGTTTTAGTTAGTTCCAGTGCTAAACAATGTTAAATGAGTTCATTATAACTCTAAGGTAATGTAAATTAGTGAAACAGAAGAGAGAATAAGAAAATTTATCAGTTCTTATTTTGGTTTTATTTGTAACATTTATTGTTAAATACTGTTTTGTTACATTAATTATAGACTTAATCATTTGTCATTATAGACTTAATCATTAGACTTTGTCATTTTTTGTGCACTTGTTGTTCTATTAATTGTTTAAGATTGTCATTGGAAAGACTTTCACCAGTTGTAACTTGAAATAATGATTCATTATCCTGCACATGGCCCAACAGTGTTTGAGTGGTAAAGTTCCTGAACACTGGTAGTTTGGTCTGAGGTTCAAATCCCATGAACGGGCTGGCTGCATGGGTATTTTCGTGTTTTCTCCATATGTAACATGTTAATATGAGCCAGTTTCCCTTAGAAAATCCTCCACGAAGGCATCCCTCCCTTCCATTTAGCGCCTTAGGGCAGAACACATAAATAAATTATTATTATTATTCAGCATTTATATTATCCAATCCTCTTTCATCAGTTTGACCATTTCATGGACAATGACTTCTCTTGTCTTAGCATCTTTGCTGTGTTTTTCTATACTCCTTTCAAACATTTCTTGGTCGCCTTATTCCAGGAAAGATTTATTTAGTTATTTATTTTTAAGCTGTAGCACTTGAGCATACATTCATTTACTAGAATGTGACAAGCACACACAACACAAACACATGAAGCATGAAGAAAGCAAAAAGCACGACGAAGCAAAAACAGCATGAAAAAGATAAGAATGCAAAATTACATGTCAAAAAACAACACACATAAAACAGATTGGAGATTGTGAAGTCCGATCTCTCTCTCTGGCTTGCCAGTATCTGTCATATAAATGTTCAGTCACTTCAGGGCATTCTTTGAGTTGAGAAGCATCCACAACAGTGTTTACTACATAATACACAGTTAGGCGACAAAAAGATGTTAAATAAGTGTTCTGCTAGGCAATCATGCCTGGTCTCCAATCTAAAAGCTGCAGCTGCAGTTCATGTAGGTGCAGGCAGCTGGAACCTTTAAAAGAAATTCCCTCCAATGGTTTTCCTTAATTTGATCTGCTTGCCTGGATTGAAAGTCATTATTCATGTGTTCTTTTATTACTCGCACTGTAGTATAATAAGGGGTAGGATTCCATGGAATCTGTAGGATTTTGGTTCCTGTGTTGGCTAAAAAATCAGCCATTTCATTACCATGTATTCTACAGTGAGCCAGAACCCATTGCAAAATAACTTTTCTATGTAAGGTTTGCAATATGCTTAAATTAGATATACAGTCTGTGATTCTTTGTGAGTCAGGAGGTTTCAAAGAGATGATAGCCTGAATTGCAGACTTAGAGTCTGACAAAATAACAGCATTAACAAAACTCTCAATCCTAGAAATAAGTTGTTGAGATGCCAACCTAATGGTCTCCACCTCTCCATCAAATGGTGTGGTAAAGGAACCAACAGACGAATAGAATACAAGCAAGTCAGAGAAAACAACAGCTTCCATATTGCCATCTTGTGAAAAGCAGGATCCATTATACACTCTTAGACAAAAAAAAAAAAAAAAAAAAAAAAAAAGACGCACCAAGAAGGAGTTATCTGAAAGGGACGAAAATCGGTAGAAGTGATGTACATGTACAGAAAAACAAATGATTACAGTTTGAGAAAAATTGGATGATTTATTGAAGTGATAGAGCTTCACAAAGTGAAAAAAGTCAATAACGCATTTGTCCACTTCTGGCCCTTATGCAAGCAGTTATTCGGCTTGGCATCGATTGATAGAGGTTGCGGATGTCCTCCTGAGGGATATCATGCCAAATTCTGTCCATCTGGCACATTAAATCGTCAACATTCCGAGCTGGTTGGAGGGCCCTGCCCATAATGCTCCAAACCTACTTAATAGGAGAGAGATCCCGTGACCTTGCTGGTCAAGGTAATGTTCGGCAAGCAGTAGAAACATGTGCAGTGTGGGGGCAGGCATTATCTTGCTGAAATGTAAGCCCAGGGTGGCATGACATGAAGGGCAACACAATGGGCCTTAGAACTTCGTCGACGTACCGCTGTGCTGTAAGGTTGCGACGGATGACAACCAAAGGGATCCTACTTTGAAATGAAATGGCACCCGAGACCTGGTTGTCGGCCTGTCTGCCAGAAGACAATCAGGTTGGTATAACACATCTGTCTGGGGCATCTCCAGACTAGCCTTCGCTGGTCATCGGGGCTCAGTTCAAAGCGGGACTCCTCACTGAAGACTATTCTACTCCAGTCAGTGACATTCCAGTGTGAATGAGCCCGACACTACTGCAAATGTGCTTAACGTTGTACAGAGGTCAATGGTAGTCGGCACAAGCGCCGTCGTGACCTCAGGTCCCTTTCTGTGAGTCGTCTATGAATGGTCCTTGTGGTCACTGAAGCACTAGTTACAGGTACAATCAATGATAGTGATGCATCTGGGGCTGTGAGTGCCGCTCTGACAATTGCTCGGTCTTCACGTTCTGTCGTTTCTCTAGGCCTACCGCTTCCTTCTTGATGCTGTGTGCGGCCATAGTTCACCCATTCCTGCCAGCATCGTCTAATAGTGGCATCGCTCCTGCTCAAAAGTCGAGCCATTCGCCAATAAGACCAACCAGCTTCTTTGAGCTCAACTACACGACCTCTCTCAAATTCTGACATCTGTGCATATTGTTCGCGCACCTATATGTGAGGCATAGTTACTGTCTATCAGAGTATATGGAATGGAATTTGTGAAGAATTTATGACCTGGAATCGTAATTTCTCCTCTTAAATATCATACTAGTTGCACAGAT